TTTTTCATTTTCTCTAAAGTCAATCTGGCTCTTTTTAAACCCTTCTGGTCTTTATTGTATTTATACAAACCTTAAAAATATTTTAAAAAGTCCCTTTATTATTACTTTTATATGAACATATATGTATAACAACATTTAATAAAAGTAAATGTGTAACAACATTAAAGGGAATGATAACCAACACTTTCTAGGTAGTGATTGCCTCTGGGCAGAAGAGGAGGTGTAGATTAGGGAAAGGTCTACTGGAGGCTTCAACATTAGTATTACATTTAATTTCTTAAGCCAGATGTTGGATATATTGGTGTTGGTGTAAATATATAACAATTTAAAGAGATTCTTAAAATGTAATTTTCTGCAAATTCCCCTCAGTAGTACAATTTGTACTTAAAAGAAAAAGTTTATTTATTTTGAGAGAAAGAAAAAGCACAAGCACAGAGGAGGGGCAGAGGGAGAGAGAGAGAGAGAGAGAGAGAGAGAGAGAGAGAGAATCCCAAGCAGATTCTGCAGTGTCAGAATAGAGCCTGACAGGGGGCTTCATCCCGTGAACCTTGAAATCATGACCTGAGCCAAAACTAAGAGTCTGACACTTAGCTGACTGAGTCCCCCAGGAACCCCTATTTCTGCTCTTCTTGATATAGAAATATGCATTATTTCATAACCTTCCCTCCACTCAAATCCCTCATGTTGCTAGCCTCATCTCATTCAACAGATAGCCTAGACTGTTGACTTCAAAAAGGAAAGGGTGCTCTGATACGTGCTTTTCATCAACTTCCTTCCTTATCACCTCAAATTTCCAATTTCTTCATCTATTTGTGTTACCTGTTTTTCTTTTGTGTTGGTAGAGATACTCACATTTTCTTTGTAAATGTAAAAACCGGATCTTTATTCCTGATCTCTTCTTCTACAACAAGGGTTAACAAACCTTTCCTGTAAAGGCCCAGGTAATAAATATTTTTGACTTTGTAGGACACACAGTCTTTGACGCAACTCCTCAGCTCTGCCATTGTAACACAAATTCAGCCACAGATAATATGTAACTGAATGAGTGTAGCTCTGTTCCAATAAAACTTGGAATGGTGGCAGGATTTGACCTAAGGGGCCATAGTTTGCTGATCTCTGTTCTACAATATCCAGAGGGTCATTCTGTCAATCAATGGCTTGTTTTAGCTGTCACCAATCTCTTCGTTATCCTCAGGCCCTCACTCAATACATATTCTATTTCTTCTTGATTTTTCTGCAGGACTTCACACTGTTGAACACTCTTTCTTATATTTTTTCTTGATTAGCTTGTTTGACAAATCACAGTTTTCATCATCTCTACCAACCCATTCTTTGGTTTATCCTTGGTATTTCTTCCTTTTTATCACCTTCCAATGAAAAAAAATGACATTTAAAAAATATATGCAAAATGAGAAAGGCTAATATAATGAATACTCATGTACCTGTATCCCTGCTTCAACATTACCAAAAAAGAACCAAGCTTTTTTCACTTCCACCTTCACTTTTTTTTTTTGTTTTTGGCTTTAGTATTGTTTTAAGATACCACTTCACTAATTTTATCTAACACTCAGTAAACATTAAAAATCCCTAATTGTCCCCAAAGTGTTATTATATCATTGATTTATTGTCCCACTTTTAGTGATACAGTTGATTGAGGTGTAAGTAACATCAGCCTGATTCCTCCATTGTAAAGTTCTTCTATTAGTGATCTATCAGTGATTTTTTCCCAGGTCTATTATTTCATTAAGGGGTGTATGGTGATTTCCTTTTGGTTTTTTTTTTCTTTTTTTTTAGAGAGAGAGAGAGAGAGAGAGAGAGAGAGACCGTGCATGGGGGATGGGCAGAGGGATAGAAAGAGCAAGAATCTTAAGCAGGCTCCATGCTCAGTGCAGAGTCTACTGCGGGGCTTGATTCTATGACTACAGGATCATGACCTGTGCTGAAATCAAGAGTCAGATGCTCAACAGACTGAGCCACCCAGGCACCCCCATGATATTGCTGTTTTTTAAAACAAAATTAGGGGGAGCTTAGATGGCTCTTAGTTTTGGCTCAGATCATGATCTAATGGTTGGTGGGATTGAGCCCTGAGTCAGACTCTGCCTGCTTGGGATTCTCTCTCTCCCTCTCTCTCTGCCCCTCCTCTGCTAGTGTGCATTCTCTCTCTAAAAATAAATAATTAAACTTAAAAAAAAGTTAAAAAAAAAAAAAACCCTTTATCAGATCCAGAAAGCTTTCCTTTGTGCTTAGTTTGCAAAGAGATTTTTACCATGAGTTGATTTTCAATAAATAACCTTTTTTTTGCATCTTTTGAGACTATGATTTTCCCTCTTTATTTTTTAAAAAAATTTTAATGTTTATTTCTTTTTGAGAGAGAGAGAGGTGGGGGGAGGGGCAGACACACACACACACACACACACACACACACACACACAGGATCCAAAACAGGCTCCAGGCTCTGAGCTGTCAGCACAGAGCCCGACGCAGGGCTTGAACTCATGTAGCACTGTAGCACGAGATCATGACCTGAGCTGAAGTTGGACACTTAACCGACTGAGCCACCCAGGCACCCTCCCTCTTTATTCATGAATAGGATGAGGTTTTTCCCATTTCTTTAATAAACTTGTGTTGGTTTGGGTTGTTTAGGAAGCAGATGCCAAAAAGGGATTAGACATATATGATATTTATTGGGAGAAATGACTGTAAAGGCTCAGCAGTGGGAACAAGAGTACACAGGTCTGACATCTGTGAAAGGAGAAGGCAGACAAAGGAGGGTTCGGCAGGAAGAGTCTTAGAGGACAGCAGTGTTAAGAAGTTTTTGATCAGGCCAGTGGGAAGACTTCATGTGCAGTTACCTGTTTAAAGTGTCCTGGCCTTGCTGAGTCAGTGGCTGAGAGCACACTGGGGAGCGTGACTTCACCATGAACTCAGCAGTGGACCCAGTGGAGTGGAAGCTGGATTCCCAGTCAACCACACTCCCCACAGCAGCAGATCTGAATTGTTCTCACTTGCCCTGACGCAGTTGTGAACAGATGTGTGCAGTAACCCCTGAGAAAGCTCTATCAAGCATCCAGAAACTTCACATATGTAAGTCTGAGTCACATCACCAGGTAAACACTAAGACTTGCAGAAGTAATACTAAAGAATGAGGGAAATTTAGAATGAATTGTGGAGGAGGGAAAGGGTGAAAACTAGTTGCAGCCCCAAAGCCTAACTTCAGGAAAGGAACATCTCACCAATATCCATTTTCTAAGTTTTTTTTAGCAAGATCCTGGATGAGCTGCCCCCCCCCC